ATTGGAAAATAACAACATAACATTTTCGCTGATCCAAAACTTTTGTTGTTGTTTTCAAGTGCAAATCTTCCCACATAATTACAATTCAAAGACATAGCAAGACTTTTAGTTTTAATCACAGTCTGAAGGATCTCTCCTGCAGTGCCACATTATCATCTGCTCCGTAAACACACAACCACATACCAATGCAGTTTATCAGACGGCCCCACACTGAGGTGCAAAGGACAAACACGGCAGATCTTCACCCCCCTCAAAGAGAAAACAAACCAATGGACAAACCAGAACCATGCGTCAGGGAATCTGGAGATAATCAGCTCTGAAAGCGGTTTGAGTGAGTCACAAAATGTTCTGGACCCTGTTTACACTCGTATTTAAAAGCAAAGTGGGCCATTTTTGCACCACTAGTGGCACCAAACAAGTTAAAAAATAAACTCAACAAGTAGCATCGCTCCAAACTAGGCTATAGGTTTATTATTATCTAAAAAATAAAAAAGAAATAGATTACAATTCCATTTTGTGCCACTAGTAGTCACATAGATATTGCACACTTGATCTATAATAGTAAACAGGGCCTGTATGTGACTCTGTATAACTTCCACATGTCTGGACTCTTATCTCAGTCCTGCAAACAGTCAACAAGCAGGAACATGACATAAAGTCATCAGTCAAAGCAGAATATGTTAAAAACACATAACAGAAATCATATGTGAGATTAAGACCCATTCAGGGAGACGACAGGATTCCTCATCCGCTCATAGAGTCAACTGTCACATATTGTAGTTATGAATATGACATTGAATAGAGGAGTTTGGGAAATGGGTTATGCTCTGTGAGTTTTGACTCGGACGGGAGGAAACTCTTTCTGCCTCACTGACATTGAAAAGTTCATATGACGCACTGACGCTTTTTGTCTCTGTGAATCGTGTGGATTTGGGATGTTACGTAAACCGGTTATTGATTTCTTCATTTCTTCTGAAATGAACAATGCAGTGATGAAAATCTAATGATAAAAAAAACAAAAAAAAAAAAAAAAAAAAAAAACAATGGATAGGCTGGTGGCTCAGTGGTAGAGCATTGTAATTTTTAATTACATTGCAATATAAAATAAATAACTTGCTACGTGTACTGAGCTAACTGAGACTTGTTATAGCACTTTGATTTGCTTCCATTGTCCTCATTTGTAAGTGGCTTTGGATAAAAGCGTCTGCTAGATGACTAAATGTAAATGATTGCAATAGAAATGCTAAGCTATTAAAATGAAAATTTGCTGAAAATGTACTCACCCCCAGGCCATCCAAGATGTAGATGAGTTTGTTTCTTCATAGGAACAGATTTGGAGAAATGAAGCATTACATCACTTGTTCACCAATGGATCCAGTGCAGTGAATGGGTGCCGTCAGAATTTGAGTCCAAACAGCTAATAAAAACATCACAATAATCCTCAAGTAATCCACACCACTCCAGTCCATCAATTAATGTCTTGTGAAGTGAGAAGCTGTGTGTTTGTAAGAAACAAATCCATCTACATTCATCTACATCTCGGATGGCCTGAGGGTATTTATTTATTTTTTTGAAAATTTTCATTTTTGGGTGATCTATTGCTTTGAAGTACACACTTAAAATAATAAAATGATCTTCAATTATTTTCATGTACTAAATTAATTTCAACAACATTCTTTTTTATCTGTCATCTTGAATGGGTTTTGTTCACTTCAGGAAAAAAAAAAGAAAAAAAAAGGCTAAAGCTTAATACGCTCTGCTGGTCCATGTGAGTTTAATTAAAGACTGTTAATAGCCCAACCTACAAAGACAAACAGGAGTCACAGAATTGATCACTGTCTGGCACCACACACACACACACACACACACACACACTACATGCACTCTTATGTCATCTGTTTCACCTGCACCTAGTGTCAATAGCATCGTCAAGACAGAGTTTGCTACATTATAGAACCCAAGTGTCCACAAAAGCACAAGTAACCTGAAATCAGCTTAAATATGCATGCTAAAAGTGTGCTACAACATCTAAGAAAATTTAAAAAGGTTTCTCTCAGGGTTAGTGGATAGAAAACATAACTAGCTCATTATGAAAACAACTGAAGTCAATGGAAAGTCCCCACAATGACAGAAAACAAATGTATGTTTGAGCTCTGGAAAGCTGTTAAGTTTCACCAATCATATTGCTTTGTCTGCTAAACGTCTTTTAGCATGAATCACGTCATTCGCTGGTGATATTGCACTATATAATCCAAGATAAATATCCGTAATAGGTTGGACCGTTTGCTGAAACATCATCATAAGATCAAATACAGCTCTATTGTGATGGGTTTTTTTATGATTATGACTGTGAAGTTAAATCGGACGGTTAAGAAATACATAATTTGAATGTCACAATTTAATTAATAGAGATTTATAGTTAGTAACTAATTTGCTAATTACCTGAGTGTCTCTGTTGACCTTTATGGCAGTTTTATGAGTTGTGATTTACCATCCCCATTCACGCATATTATTATTGAACTTTTTTTTTTTTTTAATCAAGGTCAAATGATTGAAACCAAAAGGTCATAGGCAGCTGCACTGATCTGAGACAAAGAGATATAATCATTCTAGATGATTCTTATAAGACAGACAGAGCTTTATGCTCATATGGACTCCAGCAAATACACACAATGCGACACTGTGGCCCTCTAATGGAGAAATGCAGTATTAAAATCATTCCTATGCAGGACCTTTGGAAATGTAAATAAATCAATATACTTCTGTTGTCATTTAAAGAATCATTATAAAAGGGCAAACCAGACATTCAGAAATAACTTAGCAAGGAAATATCATCATGCCTGACAGAATGGGAATAAACAGTCACTGCTCTGTGAGGGAGTAAAAGTTTGTTTACAACTTGAGGTTCATTTTGATATTTTTATCCCTCTTTAAATTTTATTAGATGAGATGAAATGTTAGAGTGAGACAAACGTAACATGTAAAACAAAACATCAAAGAGCTTACTTACTGATGTTTGTTTTGTGGAATAATTCCCTCCAAAATAACGTCACTTCCTGTTGGATGATGTCATTAGGACAGCCACAAAAAAAAAAAAATTAAAACCGCTGGAATAGCCTATTCCTTAATAAATTGGCGATTTTGTCTCCTACTTGATAAAATTGACATCTGCTCAAACCAAAATCATTTAAAATTCACCTGATTTTGTGTTGAAAGATATAGCTGGCATAATCTCCATATTTTAAAATTAATGTTAAAATTAAAATTAGTGTAATATTTTATCCATATTAAGATGCATTGCATAGAATAGTCCATAAAAACTACTATAGCCAACCTGTTATAGAAGCTTACAGTATCGCTGAATAATAAAAGACGGGATGTAAATAGTATGGTTTGAAATAAATGGAATATAAGGAAATATCTTCGTGAATTTATTTATTCATGCATGCAGTCTCAGTAAAATGATTAAAAGATGGAAATAATGGAAACTGGAAATTCATTATTGACAGCCACTCCAGTCAATTACACCCAATTACATGATTGTTTGTGAGAAGAAAAAGAGGAAGAAGAAGAAATAAATGTAATCTGTTTCCCCAAATTTTATTCAAACCTGTTAATGTAGTTATCATGGTGTTTAATGATAATGTTTACATATGAATTAATTGATTTGGTCCAGCTAATAATTCACTGTATGAGCTTCATAGCAAGTCCAGTGCACTCTAGTGTGCATGAAGAAATACGACCCAATAATACATCTGATTTGATGAGGATAAAATTTAAAAAACAGCTGTAGACTACAGCTCTCATAGAGCCTGTCCTCTTGTAATGCCTTTGGTTTTTACTGAGAGTTGCACATTGAGACGTTTCCCTTTACTCAGAAATACAATTGAAATACAATAAATTGGCAGTGTGAGTATCCACTCTTTAAAAAAATAAAATAAAATAAAATGCAGTTCCTTTATTTAAATATACAATATACTAGGAACATCAGCATCGATTCAACAGTTAAATCAGTATCAGAAAGCGTAAAGGTGAAGTGTGTCACCTCTGAACAATTAGTGGCACCAAATTTGAGAAGCCAGTAACCAATGATGTGGGTTTGACAGCGATCAATATTTTTTTCAGTTCTGTTTAGTGCTGCTGTTGGCACAGAAATGAAACACTTGACCTTTAATTAACAGATGTTAACTAGAGTCTAGTACATAGCAAAGGGTGAATACATGGATATGTGCTAGTATGGATGAAGTCTCTTTGAATGCATTACATGAACAGGTACAAAGACACAGACACCCACACACAGTGTAGCATCTACAATCCCTCCCCGAACCAAAAGTGACGCAAACGGAGGAGTCTTTACTGGAACAGTGAATTAAAAGGATTATAACTGCAAATTTACAAAGGTTTGGCTAATCCGACCTGCATGAACATGATTTACAAAGATATGCAAGAAGAACAAAGAACAAAAAGAGGAAGAATCATTTCTGGAAGAGAGGAAATTAAAGCGACAGAGACAAAAAAAATATGTATAGATTTGAGAATTTTGGAGATTCAGCTGAAATGTTAAGACCCTCTGTTCTTTACAAACTGACATCATATTGCAGCATGGAGCTTCCTTCAGGCTATAATTTTAGCAAGAAACAACAGAAGAGGAGTAAACAGCTGGATGATACATCATGTGAGTGTGTGCAGATGTTGTAGATCCTGGTTAGAAGAGTCTGGCTTTCTTCTTCAGTTCATTGCGTTTCCACAGAGGTAACCTGCCGAATTCCTGAATTTCCATCCCAAAGATTTCAAAGAACGTCTCCGGAGCCAGATGACGCTAGAAATGCAGGTGAAATAGAAGAAAAAGCAAAAATCACTCCAAAAACGTAATCAGTCTTGTTATGATTATTAACCATTCAATACAAAGTCATTAAACAAGAAGGGAATATCCTAATGAAAAAGAAAAGCGAACATCGCAGTTGTCACACAGTGTAGCATCTACAATCCCTCCCCGAACCAAAAGTGACGCAAACGGAGGAGTCTTTACTGGAACAGTGAATTAAAAGGATTATAACGGCAAATTTACAAAGGTTTGGCTAATCCGACCCGCATGAACATGATTTACAAAGATATGCAAGAAGAACAAAGAACAAAAAGAGGAAGAATCATTTCTGGAAGAGAGGAAATTAAAGCGACAGAGACAAAAAAAATATGTATAGATTTGAGAATTTTGGAGATTCAGCTGAAATGTTAAGACCCTCTGTTCTTTACAAACTGACATCATATTGCAGCATGGAGCTTCCTTCAGGCTATAATTTTAGCAAGAAACAACAGAAGAGGAGTAAACAGCTGGATGATACATCATGTGAGTGTGTGCAGATCTTGTAGATCCTGGTTAGAAGAGTCTGGCTTTCTTCTTCAGTTCATTGCGTTTCCACAGAGGTAACCTGCCGAATTCCTGAATTTCCATCCCAAAGATTTCAAAGAACGTCTCCGGAGCCAGATGGCGCTAGAAAGGCAGGTGAAATAGAAGAAAAAGCAAAAATCACTCCAAAAACGTAATCAGTCTTGTTATGATTATTAACTTATTAACCATTCAATACAAATTCATTAAACAAGAAGGGAATATCCTAATGAAAAAGAAAAGTGAACATCGCAGTTGTCACGGTTGCTTGTCATACTCTGCAGCTGGCTTGTCAGTATTGCGATTTTTTTTCACTTTTATTAAAATTCACTTTTTCATTTGATTACTATTATTTTTTTTTTAAACCCTGTGGTGGAAACTGGTTTCCATATAAAATGCATAAATGAAACAGGTAAGATTTCTGCACTAAAAAGAATCATCGCATAGTTTAGGCTCTTATTAACAGTTTGCATCTATTTGATTTCACTTAGATAAAAAAAAAATCATGTTTTTAAAATGCAATTATTCATGTTCAATATGAACATATTTAAAATATGGCTAAATCTTAAATCTAACTGGTAATGTCTACACTCAAAAAATATTTAGGCCTACATTTAAGATTTATGTATTCAAATTGCATATTAAATGTCCATCCATTTGGCTTATATTAATGTGATGCATATTTCTCAGTCATATCATAAAAAATGCATAAAAGAAACAGGTAAGATTTCTGCACTAAAAAGAATCATCGCATAGTTTAGGCTCTTATTAACAGTTTGCATCTATTTGATTTCACTTAGATAAAAAAAAAAAAAAAACATATTTTCAAAATGCAATTATTCAAATTGCTTATAATCAGCATAGATATGTTTACATTTAATTAAAAGTGAACAGATTTAAAATATGGCTAAATCTTAAATCTTTGTTTAACTATTGGGTTAAGTACTATTCCAGAAATCTTACCCCTTTCCTATCGATTCATTTATGTATTATGTTTATTAGTTTGTTAATACTGTGTTAAACCTGTGCAATCCAAATGGGTGGAAATTTAATGTGCAATTGAAATCTTAAAAACTTTAGGCCTAAATATTTTTCTGAGTGGGCATTTTGGTTACATCATAATACAGTGTTTTGTTGCACAAATACAGTGAGAAATTACCTCTAGTCTGGTTCTGTCCACATCTCTGGGCAGTTTGGAGCGACTGCGGCTTGTTACCATAAGCATTTCATATGGATACACCTTCAAACGACACATATCAATCAGTACAAAAAATGCAAACTCTCCACAAACTATTTTTAATGTCTGAAATGTAGGGTCTAATAAATCAGGCCGCATAGTTACATTACATCCAAGTAATTCGCTGAATGCTGAACAGCCTAATAATTGAACTCATATTCAACATTAGATAATGATATGCTACTTTAATATGTTACACTTGCTTTTGTTTCCAGCATATTAGGCATAGACACTCCTCTGTCCATTCTGGTGGCTGTACGGTGGCCATCATGCATGGGCTAGAAACAAATCGTTAATAGAGAGAGAACACTTTAAAGAGAAGTCAGCTGTATCTTTCAATCTGATTTCACATGATGTATGATGAATGAGTATGAACATGTATTTTTAAAGAATATCACATATTAGTTACAATAAGGGTGCAATGAGGATAGATGGAAACACATTTGAGTGATTTAAACAGGTAATCATATCTACATACCTGAAACTCTGTTAAAAAGAAAATAAAAAAAGATTTTTATTTTTATATTCATACATTAAATTGGACACTTTAAAAATGATGCTTTATCATCTACATGCATTATACTACTCCCACAATATATATGCCTACATGTGATTACTGTTGCTCTCATTACAAATTAATGTATGTAATTAAAGTTAAATTAAATTAAATACGAATAAACTAACCTCTCATCCCACCACACACGTCTCCATAACTGTTATACTGAGTGAAATCAGTCGACTGAGGCTGGAGTAAAATATACAATAGACAAAATGGGTTCAATAACATATCTTTTAATCATATACTAATAAGTAATATTAAATACTGAGTGACAATAATAAAGGCATCTTACCCGATGCAGTCCATTACGCCCATATCCAGGCAGTGAGCCTGTTTTAGAGGGTGAATTTCCATCTGCAATTTTAATAACATAGTACACATTTACTATGAAAAAATGGGTTCAATAATGCACATATCTGTGTAATTGTAAAAGTGTTACCATTATTAATTTTTAATGTACTTTTCAAATTTATTTGAAATATAATTTCATATATTTGAAAAATAATGAATCAAAAATGAAACTCCTGTCATTATTTACTCCCCCTAATGCATTTCTTTCTTCTCTGTGATATACAAAAGAAGATATCTTGAAGAAGTTTGTATTCAAACAATTTATGCAAATGTAAAATGAAATTTATTCATAGAACAGTTTCGAGTCCCACTGACTTCCACTGTATTTTATGGCCATCTAATGGATGTCAGTGCCGTTTTGTTACCAACATTCTTCAAAATATCTTCTTTTGTGTTCCACAGAAGAACAAAATGCATGCAGGTTTGTATGAGGTGTGAGTAAATGATGACAAATGTTTCATTTTGGGGTGAACTACCCCTTTAAATTCCAATTCAAATTGTGCATCCTATTTGCTGCCTCAATTGAAATGCAGGAATTCAGCTGGAATTGTAAATTCTCAATTATATTCTGAATGGCTCACAGCCCTGTTTCTGACTGGAGAAAGTCAAGACCTAGAACATGAACGTCTAATATGCAATCTATTGTACTGAGGAGCATTACTGCTTCCATGTTCGTAGCGCTGTGCTGACAGGCTCCGTGCATGACGCTCTCGGATCATCTCTTTCTCCATCTCCTCTTTAAGAATCATTTTCCCCAAACCAGATTGGATCTGGAATCAGAAACAAGAATCATTTTAGACTTTGAATTGCATTGTTGAGCAGGTTGCATCATTCTTTTAATAACAGACATCTCCAGACCCTGTTGAGATGTTCCTCCTGAATCTGTCTGCGTTTCTGGAGTTCCTCCTCATCCTCCTCTCTTGACCTTCTCCTCTCGTCTGTTCCTGAGCAGCACAACAACAGCAACAAAAACATATTAATAGGACACATTCACACACACACAATTGTATGAATCAAGGATGGAGGAGGAGAGCTAATGCAAAAGACTGAGTAGAAAGCCAGTCTATGTTTTTCTATCTCCTGATACTTACAGAGCTACAGTTTACAGAATAGAAGTGAAATAATCACGTGTATTACATCAAGAAAAATTATTACACAGTAACACATGGACAGAAAGACAGAAAGAAACACAAATGTTTGAAGTCAATCTCGGTATTTGCCCAGCTAACAAAATATGTTCTAAGAACATTTTGCTACAGTAGCTTTCTCATTAAGTTATGAAAAGTATATTTCTGAAAGCTATCTGAATCCGGTTGTTGAAACATTTTTTTTTCTTGGTAATTTGAATGTTAAAGGGTTAGTTCACCCAAAAATTCTGTCATTAATTACTCACACTCGTGTTGTTCGAAAACACAATTTAAGATATTTTTGATGAAATCTGAGGGCTCTCTGACCCTCCCATAGACAGCAAGGTAACTACCACGTTTAAGGTCCACAAAAGTACCAAGATGATCCACAAAGTAGTCCGTGTGACATCAGTGGTTCAGTAGCTTCGTAACTTTACAGTTGAACCACTGATGTCACACGAACTACTTTGTCAATCATCTTGGTACTTTTCTGGACCTTGAACGTGGTAGTTACCTTGCTGTCTATGGGAGGGTCAGAGAGCCCTCAGATTTCATCAAAAATATCTTAAATTGTGTTCCGAAGATGAACGAAGGTCGTACGGGTTTCGAACAACACGAGGGTGAGTTATTAATGACAGAATTTTCACTAACCCTTTAAAGGAACATTCCATTTTACAGTTTTGCAAATGTTATGGGAATATTAGCTTTGAATGTTCTCTGAACATTCTGAAACAAGTAGTAACATTAAAAAATGTTTGATGAACGTCCAAATAAAATGTTTCAGAAAACGTTCCACGAGTGATGTATAAATAATGTTTTTGTGCTAATGTTTTGAGAACATTATTAAAGACCAGGTAACTTTGAACAAATGTTCAATTTACATTACTGGAAGAATGCTTGGTCATAACTTTGAAAGAACCATGCCAGAATGTTCTGAGAAGATTCTCTGTTAAGCTGGGCGATTTCAACCTTTTTTAATGTTAAACTATTTTTTGTTTTTATTTCATCTGTATGCCAATTCAGCATTAGAAAGATGCTGTGTGTGTGTTTGTTTAATAAACAAACTCTTACAGCACTGTGAGAAAAACTACTGTATATAAGAATTAAATTTGATATTGAATATTAAACTATTAATACCTAAATCACGAACACGGTATAAAAAACTTACCGATTTACTACATAGAATCTATGTAAATAATTGTAAAAATTACTAGCAATTTCTGAGTGAAAATGTTTCTAGACCACATTTTGTTCAGAGCAGAAGCAGCTTAATTAACACTAGCATTTTACTTTAACTAGAAAAATCTGTTTATACATCTGCTTTAAATCCTCAGATCAAGGTTATAGTTCACCGAATTAATTTTTTTATTTTTGTGAAACACCTCAATTATGTTGTAATAATACAGAGCCTAAAAAACATGTGGGTGAGTAAATGATGGGAAATGGTTGATTTTGGGTAAACTTGAACAAGGCAGAAGCAACGAGACTGTGGGGACAGATGTATCATGGGTGACCACAGTACCTAGGGCAGCATGGGAGATCGGGAAGGACCAGCAGTCTGTCTCGATCTTTGCTGGGTAGTCTGGACCAGAGGTGTACGCCGAGGGGAATTTGGCTGATTTGATGATGTCATCAGCAGACTTGCTCTGGGCTGCAAAGGCAGCTGAATCTAGATCAATAAACCGGGGGGAGGCTGTGGACCATCAGTGTGGCCAGACCAACATCTAACCAACAGATAGCAGAAAAAGCCTGCTACAAGCCATATGTGGCATACGGTCATGGGTTTATGGCCTCTGATAACCCACATTCACTATTTAAAGCAAAGAAAATGCAATATTTACTACTGGAGGCTATTGGCTGTCTGCTTGCATGCTAAACATGCATAGCTATATCATAAGCCATAGCTCATCACACAGCCAAAATAAACCATGCAGCAATCTGACAAACCATCACTGGCGTTAGAATGCATTGCAAGTGTTAATACGCAGACAGTGGGATCCGACCTGCTGAATTCATCTATAGATAAATATAGCAACATTTAATTATCACGAATAATCCAATTTCCAACTAAGCTGAAATAAAACCCCCTCTTGTTCTAAATTTACTGACATCAGACTGATTATAGACTAATATAAAAAAATGTTTTCAATAGTATGGATGAAGACACATTCGGCCAAACATTGTGCTGTTCCTGGCTGTGTGTGTAGCAGTTTTATTTTTTAATTATTATTATTATTTTAATATTTTGAATTAGATTTTTCATATTTTGTGTTTTCTTTTTTTCTCTCTTTTTTTGCATTTTCATTTTAGTAATTTTGTTGTATGTTTGTTTTTTATATGTCTCAATAATTTTTCTTAACATTTTATGTCAGGTAAAACTAAATGAAAAATGTTGCTTTGGGAACAGCTCTCACACACACACACACACACACACACACACACACACACAGGTTTGTTTTTGTGAAAAGTGGGGACATCCCATAGGCGTAATGGTTTTTCTACTGTACAGACCGTATATTCTATTGCCCTTCACCAACCCTACCCCTAAACCTACCCCTTACAGGAAACTTTGTGCTATTTCAGATTTTCAGTACACTTCTTTCTGTGTGATTTATATGCGTTTTGAAAAGTGGGGACATGGGGTAATGTCCTGAAAAGTCACCTTCTCCTTGTAATACCTATGTCATACCCTTGTCATTATACAAATGTATGTCCTCATTTGTCACAAAAACGCGCACACACAATTTCATTTGAGTTAAAGTTTAATTTAATTTTGTTTTTAAGTTAACTAAAGTAACCTTGGTGTGTAGCACCTACAGCTCTGCATTTGATTATTATTTATTTTTAACAAGATCCCATCATTTTTTATGCTGATTTTAACAGATTTAGCTGCACATGCAGATTTAGTGGAGATTATCTAGGGAGGGAGCAGAACAATATGAACTCAACAGCAAACCTGCAGCTCATAAGCAAGAGCAAAAGCGTTGTGTCTCATTTCACATGCGAAGAAGGAACAGCAGCACAATAAATTAAAACAACAACAAAAAAATAAGAACAAAAAACAACCAATTTGATTTGAAGGGTCAGAGAGGCAGTGGAAAACTGTCAACTTATAATGTTTTGACATAGATATTATATACTAACATTATAAATGGACCCCTGGGGAAAAAAAAAATAATAATAATACAAAATTGTATGATAATGACCCCTTTAAATGTCAACAAATGTAAGATTTAGCCCATTTTTTTTTTCTTTTTTGAATGCTTGTTGACAAACAATAATACTAGGGTGTAATTTCTAATTTTAAAATCTATGTAATCTTTTTTTTTTTCAAATAGCAAATATGATATTACCAGTTTTGTAAATAAGGGGTCAGTAAATACATTAGTAGATACTATGCATATCTAACTTTTGCAAGTTTTATTACTTATGAATATGAATGAAAGCTCATCAGGCACTCAATCAGGAGAAGATGCTTTAATGATGATTGACTGATCGGTTGATTAATATTTATAGTGAAATGAGCTCAGTTGAGAAGACTTCAAACAATACTTACATGTTTACATTGAGGTGGTGTTTAATGGCACACAAGTAGGTATTAATGAGGTGGAGGGACTCACAGTTTCCAAATAAAAACAAACAAACAAAACACAGAAATATGGTAAAATGACATACAAACCATACACAGTCATGATGTGAAATATTCAGAATTTCCTTGACATTGATTTTCTCTCAATAAAAATCTTCTGGGTGCTAGTCTGTTAAGGTAACTTTAAACAACCTTGGCTGTTAACTAGGTTACCGATGAACTGTTAAGATCTGTCTTTTTATTGACCTGCTGTTGTGAGCCAAGCAGCATTAAAGAAAACATGCAGTCTTTGCACAGTATACATTGTCAGTCTTGCCTGAATATTATATTGTTTTAAAAGTCATGCAGATGCTGAATAAAACTGTATTAACTGACTTTACCAGTAAACAGAGCAGCAAGTTGCTCAACATGAGTGCTTTAATGCTTGCAATGATCAATCTATATAACATTTTAAACACAACCAATAAAAAGTCATAAGTAAATACAGGCAAGCATCTTAAGAACTCAATCAGATGCAATCTTCACAATGCAATACTTAAAGAAAAAGTTCGCAAAAAATGAAAATTTGTTGAAAATTCAAGATGAGTTTGTTTACTCATCAGAACAGATTTGAAGAAATTTAGCGTTACATCACTTGCTCAGCAGTGGATCCTCTGCAGTGAATGGGTGCCGTCAGAATGAGAGTCCAAACAGCTGATAGAAAGAATCACAATCATCCACAAGTAATCCACACAACTCAAGTCCATTAACATCCTGTGAAGTGAAAAGCTGTTTGTTTGCAAGAAATAAATCCAACGTTAAGATGTTTTTAACTTTGAAACTGTTGCTCCAGGCTAAAATACGAGTCCTCTATCCATAATATTGCTTTCTCCAGTGAAAAAGTTTTCTCGTCTGTATCAGGAGATAAATATCCACAGATCAAGCAAAAACAGTTCTAAACAAATATGCTGGTGGATTTTTATGTGAGAGGACAACAGGGGATGGACACTGGAGGAAGTGTTATTATGTCTTATGTACTCGTATTTTGGCCAGAAGCGAAAGTTTAAAGTTAAAACATTTGTTTCATACAAACACGGTTATTTGCTTCATATGATCTTAATTGATGGACTGGTGTGGTGGTGTGGATTACTTGAGGATTATTGTGATGTTTTTGTCAGCTGTTGGACTCTCATTCTGACGGCACCCATTCACTGCAGAGGATGAAGAAACAAACTTATCTAACATCTTGGATGGCCTGAGGGTGAGTGAGTTTTCAGCAAGTTTTCATTTCTAAAGGAACTATCCCTTTAAAAACAGCGGTTCCCAACCAGGGGTGCATGTGCCTCAGGGTGTGCTTAAAATTTTTTGATTTTGCATTGTTAAAAAAAGTTGTAGCTTCTCATTAAAATTTGTACCATTGGCAATGCATTTGCTGTTGTGTGATATTTCATACTTGAACCGCTGTGGCATTTCAATTTCACCATGCACAGAGTGCAAATTACTTTAATTTTGACAAATGTTCTAGCTGTAATAATTATATAGTCATCATTTTTTAAATTCAGTTACATAAAAGGGTAGACTGGTCTAATTTGAATCTGAAAATTAAGACTTGACTAACTCCTAATAGGTCTTAACATAGTGCCTGGACCACATTGATTACAACATGAATCATAATAATGAGCATTTAAATAACATTAAAGGGATAGTTCACCCAAAAATGAAAATTTGATGTTTATCTGCTTACCCCCAGGGCATCCAAGATGTAGGTGATTTTGTTTCTTCAGTAGAACACATATGATGATTTTTAACTTTAACCGTTGCAGTCTATCAGTCGTATAATGCATGGCAATGGTAACAAAATCTATGAGAGTAAAAAAAACATGCACAGACAAATCCAAATTAAACCCTGCGGCTCGTGACGACACATTGATGTCCTAAGACACGAAACAACACACCCATTAACGTAAACTACGCCAGAGTGCGTACACACCTCACGCACCGGATGCCGTGCGTGCGCCCAAAGATAGTTGGACATAGTGGTGTATTAGAGGTAAAAAATGATATAAATACTGTTCGGTTTCTGGCACAAACCGATTGTTTCGTGTCTTAGGACATCAATGTATCGTCACGAGCCGCAGTGTTTAATTTGGATTTGTCTGTGCATGTTTTTTTTTACTCTCATAGATTTTGTTACCATTGCCATGCATTATACGACTGATAGACTGCAACGGTTGGAGTTAAAAATCATCATATGTGTTCTACTGAAGAAACAAAGTCACCTACATCTTGGATGCCCTGGGGGTAAGCAGATAAACATCAAATTTTCATTTTTGGGTGAACTATCCCTTTAATGATAATGCTAAATGATATCCAGTATAATTAGAGTTATACGTTTTGGGGTTGGTGACTTAATACTGAGCTGTGTGGGTACATAAGACAAAAATGGCTGGGAAACACTGCTTGTACATTATAAATCAACAGGCATGTGTCAAAATTCTAATCATCTCTTTATTGTGAAAGATAAAGCATTGAATTCAAAGATTCTGAATGACTGTACCATGCTGTTTGTAGATAGGGGGTTTTCTGTAGATGTTTACTCCTTGATCTGAAAGAAAGGAAAAGTCCAATTAATTCATTTTAATTCTTAATATAACAGATATTGGGTTTTAAAAGGTGAAACAAAATCGATAACACATACAAAATGCACCAATAAACAATCAAATCTGAAAAACTGCACCACATACACTTTGGATACGCTATTACCAAAGAAAGATCTTGTCATTTTCTGAAAGAAAATGTTAGGGGTGTTTGATCGTGCAGACTTTTCATTTCTGTGTGAACTGTTGCTTTAAGGCAGAGAGATAACCAGACACAGAAAGTGCTATGAATGGTGAACATGTGCTTAGACACAGGGGCATGCTGGGATTGACACACAGTGGGCCGCTGGAAGACTCCAACAGTACCTGGCAGGTGAAAATGTTTAGGAGTCAGAAGGAGAGGAGGGGTGCTGGCCCCTGGGGAACTCCGACCACTGGACGGCTCAGCGCCTCCAATCACAAACACGGTCAAAGTCAATAGGGAAAATAATTCAGATTAGGGCTGGACGAAATATATATATTGATATACGCCATGTTTACACACTGTTTTAATAAATAAAAATATACAGTTGCACTTAATTTTAAGGTGTCCTGTTACAGTGTGATTATAAATTTAAATACTGAGTAATATTAATTAATTACATGTATTTACTATATGGTTAGGGTTAGGATTAGGGTTTGCCTTAGGGTTACTTGCATGTAATTATGCATAATTTATTGTTGTTATAATAGTAAGTACATGTAACTTGTGTAACAAGGATACCTTAAAGTGTTACCAAATATACACAGACTAACTAAAGGGATTAGCCTTAAAAAAAAAAAAAACTAATTTTAACCAAAATCGAAAAGACAGAAGTTAGAATTTAGAAAAATTAGAATGAGAAAAAACTAAATTAAGCCATTAACTAACTATAGGGATTAATCTAAAAAAAA